TATATATATTATATATTATGGTTTCCTCTGTATTACAGTTGACTCTGCTTGTGTGTTGAACTCGCTTGAACTTCGGTTTTAAGTCAAGTAGGCCTACAGTGGAACTCGGATTCAACGAGAACTCGGATTCAACGAGATGAGATAGATTCCCCGTTTTTTTCTTTCTTTAAAACCAATAAAAATTAATCCGGATTCAATGAGCACTAAAAATAAACCAGTGAGCTCGGATTCAACGAGTTTGCTTCCAGGGTGAACAGCCCCGGCAGACGTGGCTTCGCTCATTTTTCTCTCAGAACGAACTTTTTCCATTCCCGGAAACATCCATTATTGCACCTTCTTCGTGAACCATTATTCACTTAGCCGATTGCATGCGACCAATCAGCAGCCTTTTTTCATACCAACACATGCGTAGTTGGGTAGTTGGCACGCGCACGTGTCTACTCTGGCGTGTGTCGGGGTCGGGAGGGGTGGTCTGCACACGTGTGGCTGTGTGTGCGTGTCGGGGAGGGGGGGGGGGGAAGCACTAGCTTTGAACGTCGCAGATACAAACATGTCAGTCTTTTACCCCCTTGGCAACTGGTCGTTATTACAATGATAAGCTAGTCTTGACGTAGAACTACGTAATGAATTGTGCACCGATGGAATCAAAAGTTGCCGTATGGCTCTACATAGAAACACAACTTTTTGGTAAACAATCGAGATGATACAGGCGCGTGCATTTGGACGAATCGGTCTTCTTTTATTTTTTACACAGCTCATAATATTATGCAGGCACTAGCTCTACTTGTGACTTCTCTTTATAAATACATTACTTGCTCAGTGCCTGTAATTATCTACACAAAACCTCGTGTTTGATAACGAACACTCGGATTCAACGAGATTTTAGGTCAGGCCCGGCGACCTCGTTGAATCCGAGTTCCCAAAAATTAAGTTGAACTTCGGACGAGTTGATTCCTCCCCCGCGAAAATAAACCAATGCATAGTCAACTAAATTCATCATCAACCCCAAGAAACTGCTCGGACTGCCGTAGTCTCGGATACAGTGCACAGCAGTGTACAAACAATGGAAACCTGATATGACAGGGACGGGATGGTGGGAGTAGAGAAAATGTCCTGTTATATCCGATCCCTGTTAAAGTTAAATCAGACTGAGAAATGCAAGGAAAGTAAGCATTTGCGGACTAATCCAGCTGTACTTACTTATTCAAGGGTAGTTTCCTTTGCCACAAGTACCCACGAACAGGGGTTTTGACAGTAACTTTCTCCTTGCCTCTAAACCACATCAGAAGAGCTTGGTCCACAGCATCTGCATCGGGTAGTCTCATCTTCGTAAATCTTTCGATCCAGAGCAAACTTTCCATTGGAGTATGCTGCCACTATCTTCTCTCTATCCTTGATAATGGAGTGAATCGACCCTTGTGGAAGGTCCAAGTAACGACAAACTCTGCCAGTGGAGCTTGCTTTTTGTCAACAGCCTGGATTATTTCGTAGGCCTATTTTTGTCAATTGAAAGGCAGTTTCTCGTGCGCTTGACATCGTTGGTGACACATTACGCGTGCGTGTTGCTAGGTTTCGGGCTAGATCGAGGTCTGCAGCACACCAGAGCCCTCTCTCGCTTCACACACTGTGTATACTTGCAGTGGCATTGCTTGTTCCATCTCTCTCTCTCTTTTACTTTTTCCACTGTTAACGAGCCTTTGTCCCTGCTATTACACTATTACTAGTATTACCGGTTGTGCTCCGAAGAGGCCCTGTTATTGCTGGTAACTTTTAATAGTGACAAAGTCAAAGAGTAGGAAAAAACGGGGATTAAAAAAATTTCTGTTGTTATTACCGGGCCTGTTATAACTTATACATATGGTTTCCACTGTATATCATGAACGATAAAATGAGAAGAACCCCCCCCCCCCCCCCAACTTAACACTAGATCTAGCTCTACCTCTAATATTTATTTATAACTTATAAGATGCTAAAATATTATTTTTAAAAAAAGTAGGCCTAAGGCCTCCTCTGCAACCATATATTGAAACTGAAGCTCTGCAAGACCATTTATTTAACAGGGGTTCGAACCACAACTTACTTATTCAGTTTCTTCAGTTTACCAGAATTACCATTACATGTATTTTTAAGTCTGTGTGTAACTTTGTCCTAGGCTAGATCCTATGTCCACGCCCGCGGCTGTGTGCATCTCTCTGCCTTCCTCTCCGCCCGTGTGAGTGTGTGTCTCCATCACTGGCGTTCTCTGTGTTTCTCCACACTCCACTGCTGCAGTGTAAACTGTGTTCGAACTTCGATGGGTCATCGTGAAAGTATTGACTGTCTTGTAATGAAGCGTGCCTAAAGCCGAAGTTACCGTGCTTAAAAGGCGTGTAATTTATATTATATAGCAAAAATTCGGTAAGAGCCGTTTAGCGTGCTTAAGTCCGAAACTTGCTTTAAGCCGGCGTGCTTATATTATGGCCGGCACGGACTGTACAAGAATCAAGGACATACAGTGTTTTAACATGTAGCCTGCTTGTAAACTTGAAGCTAAGGCAAAGCACACTATCCATCTTCCTGTCGTTTTGTTTTAGCTTTAGTAAGAGTTTTACGGCACTTGCAACACAATAAGGTCATATAAGTGCTGAAGACTAGGTGTTACAAGGGAGTAACAAACATGAAAAAGGAGTGGAGAGAAGGACGATAGATATTTGAAAAGAAAGAAGAAGCAAACCACACTAGAGCACCCGCCAACCACCCACACTTATCACTAACCCCCCCCCCCAAAAAAAACCCCCAAGTACTGCCTCCTCTGCAACCAGCCTGAAACTGAAGCAATGATGTTACTGGGACACACATGCATGCCCAAATCAAAGCACTGCTCTGCAAGACCATTTAACAGGGGTTCGAACTTCAACTTATTCAGTTTACCGGAATTACCATTACAAGAGTCAAAGACATATAATAGTGTTTTTTACTACATGTACATGATGTACCTGCGAACCTGAATCTTAGGCAAAGCACACTATCCATCTTCCTGTTGTTTTAAGTTTGGAGTTTCACAACACCTGCAACACATTTAGGTCATACTGGTGCCTAAGACAAGAGGAGTTTGTAACCCAGTAACAAAAATAGAAGAAGAGAAGAGAACGATAGATGTTATAGCTTTAGTAAGAGTTTTACAGCACTTGCAACACAATAAGGTAACAAGTGCCAGAGATTAGAAGATACAAGAGAGTAAAAATTGCAAAAAAGGAGGAGAGATCAGGATGATAGATGTTCGACAGGAAAGGAGCAAAGCACCTGCCAACCACCCACAGTCAATTTTCTTGTCAGTTGCCCCGTGAAGAGAAAAGATAAAAGCGTTTAGTCAGAGTAAGAGTCTGTAGCACCTGAAACACAAATAGATTAGAGGTGTTACAAGTAGAATAGTAACATAAAAAGAAAACTGTGACTGTGAAGCGGGATAAAGACGATAGATGCGTGATGAGAAAAGGGCAAATGACACCAAAGCATCAACAAAATAACAATAGAAAATGCCACAAAAAACAACAAAAGAAACAAAAAAACAACAACAACAAAACAAAAAAACCCCGAACACTTTAACTAAATTAGACCCAGTGCTTTATTCTTTAACAGCATATTTCCTCTGAGGGTACAGGCGGTTTTTCCTCATCTCTTTCTTGCTCTTGATGGATCGCTCGTAGGGAGTGAGGGCCCGTCGGATGGCGCGCGTCTTCTTCAGACGCAGGTCCTTGGGCTTGTGGGATCTCTGGCGGTAGAAACGCCTCAGGTTCTCCTTCTGCTTCTGGTTGATCACAGTGAGGACACGGGCCACGGACTTGCGCACCGTGTAGCTGGAAGAAAAATACACAGCGTGATGGTAGTATTTCTTATAACATCAATAATAAATAGCATATTTATGCTGCGCATTTCAATTTTCTTAAAAAACACTCAATGCCCATAAAGTAAAAAAAAAAAGAGATCACATCTTACAAATCAACTGACATGTCTGTACTGCAACATAGATTAATTTCAGTTTCAAGTTCAGTAATAGTTTTACAGCACTTACAAAACACAAATAGTCATTTATCAGTGCAGAAGATTAGGTGTCATTACTAGATAGCACCAACAGGCTAAGAAAAGGAGGAGAGAGCAGGACAATAGATGTTCGACAGGAATGAAGGAGCAAACCACACGAAAGAGCACGCTTATCATCCATCCACATTGATTTTTTTGTTTGGACGGAGTCAAGGGCTTAATAATAATCTTACAAAGAGAGAAAGAGGTCACCATGGGGTCTGCAAGGAGCCAATTTCAAACTTCAGACTGCTGGTCTGTTAGCGTAACTAAAGTTGTCCTTTGCGACAGGATACCGAGTAGCTAAAGAGAAACACTCAGGGTTTTTAGCAAAGATTGTAATGTTGCCCTTTGCAATAAAACCACACAAACACAAAGATTGCTTTGTATGGTTGTGAGCCAGGCGTACACAATAAAATAACACAAAACAGTTATTGATTAAGGAGGGAAATTTTGGGGGATGAAATGGTATACACAGATTCAGCATCAACACAGAAAAAAACTCATTTCAAGACTCAACAACATCAAAATGATGCACAACTGTCATGTAAATGTGCGACCATGAGCATGAACTCTTGAGAAACATTGACGTAAACACACACTCAATATTATATCCAACCCCCCATCCAGTTGGGAACTTTCCGAATGAGACAAGGCATGTTCCGAAGGGTGCAAAAATCTCAACAACTCAGCATATACTCAGAACAACTACTATTGCACATGTAAAACCAAACAAGAATCATCACCCAGCCCTCCAAAAGTATCAGGACAATTTAAACACATTTGTAATAGAAAGGATGAAAGAACAGAGATTGACAATTTAACAGGAACCCCCCACCCCCCTCCCAAAAGTACAAATTTCCCACACAACCCCCTAATCTGGAACCCCAAGAATCTGACGACAATGTCCTTTGCGACAGGATACTGAGTAGCTACAGTAAAACACTCAGGGTTTTTAGCAAAGTTTGTAATATTGCCCTTGACAATAAAACCACACAAATAATAATTCATTTGCATGGTTGTGAGCCAGGCTTCCGTAATCACAGTAAAAATTCAACAATCTAAGTGTTAGGTGGACTTGTTACGATGAAGTCACGAGTGCAAGAATTCTGACAATCGAACACAAAAAAGTTGTAGGCTACTTAAAACGAGAGCTGAATAAAAAAACAACAACCTGAACAATCAGGACACATTTTGTAGCAGTAGATACAGCCCATCCCCAAATCAGCACAAATCTACCCCAAAACCCCCTCGATAACAGCTCTTACAGAAAAGCAATGTCCTTTGCGACAGGATACTGAGTAGCTACAGCAAATCACTCAGGGTTTTTAGCAAAGTTTGTAATATTGCCCTTGGTAAAGAAACCACACAAATAATGATTCATTTGCATGGCTGTGAGCCAGGCTTCTGTAATCACTGTCAAAATCACACGCAGGGAAAAATTCTACAATCTAATTCTAAGTGTTAGGCTTAGACAAGACTTGTTACGATGAAGTCACAAGTGCAAGAATTCTGACAACCGAATACAAAAAAGTTGTACTTAAAACAGCGAGAGCTGAATAAAAAAAACCCCTGAACAATCAGGACACATACATTTTGTAGTATTAGACACGACCCATCCACAAATCAATCGTAAAAAACCCCCAGATAGCATATTAAAAGAAAGGCAATGTCCTTTGCGACAGGATACTGAGTAGCTACAGTAAAACACTCAGGGTTTTTAGCAAAGATAGTAATGTTGCCCTTCATAATGAAACCATACAAACAATGATTCATTTGCATGGTTGTGAGCCAGGCTTCTGTAATCCAAGTCAAAATAATAAATTACACGTAGGGAAAAGATCTACAATCTAAGTATTAGGCTTAGCCTGACTTGTTACGGTGAAGTCATGAATGCAAAAATTCTGACAAACGAACACAAATAAATTGTTTGTACAAAGAACAGCGAGAGCTGAGATAAAAAACCTGAACAATCAGGACGCATTTTGTGGTAATAGACATGGCACATCCCCAAATCAGCACAAATCTACCTTAAAAAAACCCCCTAGATAGCAACTCTTAAAGCAAGGCAATGTCCTTTGCGACAGGATACTGAGAATACAGTAAAACAATCAGGGTTTTTAGCAAAGTTTGTGATGTTGCCCTTGATCAAGAAACCACACAAAGTAATATTTCTTCGCATGGTTGTGAGCCAGGCATGTCCAGACCTACTAATCTATTAGCAGAAACATACACAAAGCTGAAAAATGAGGTTTTGAATCCTGAAAGTTATAAATCTAGGTTTGTTTAAAAGTAAAAAGAAGCACACAAACACAATAATGGTAATTTAGTGCAGAGCAAAAGTAATCAGGACCCCCCCCCCGGCAATTAAAGTAAAGAAGTAGGACCTACCAGTGGCACCCCCCGACCACCAGCGAATCTGGGTTTGCCATGCATTACAAGCAAAAACAAATATTAAAAACAATGTAGGTTAATCCTTGAACAATCCCACAACCATCAAAAAGTCTCACTATTTGAGATACATCCTGTCACATGCAGAAAAAAGAAAAACTTGTGACATATGTGAAATCACGTAGACATCCTCCCTCCCAAATACAAACCACAAAAACTCAACAACAGTAATTCCTACAGCACAACAATGTTCTTTGCGACAGGATCCTGAGAAGCTACAGCAAAACACTCAGGGTTTTAAGCAAAGATTTTAATTTTGCCTTTTGCAATGAAACCAGACAAATTATCAATTCATTTGAATGGTTTTGAGCTAGGCTCCTAAAAACTCTACAACAAATTTACAGTACATGAACAAAAAAAATAATGGGGTTCCTTAAAAAACAAAGTTCTGAACACAACGGAAGACTTTGAGCTTGGGACTGCTCTGTAATCCTGTATAAAAAGATAAAATGTCACGCTTCTCTCCTAAGCCAAAGCTCAAGACCAACCCAGCACTGGAGGAATGCAACAACATATGACCTTGAATGACGCGGCCCACAGGTGACACAAATCTAAACCCCCACCATTTGAACAACTGTTTTATCTCTTTCATGACATGTGGGGAAACAACCCCAAAACAACATTATTCTTTCAGAGAAAACATTCACTATAGGGAAGGGGGAACCTCTCACTGCATCACCGACTACCCCATCAATGATCTGGTACTTTATATAAAAAAAACCCCAATTAGGAACATATCAGTTGGAAGAATTTTTTAAAGTTTGTAAAAAAAAACAAAAAAACACTGCACTAACTAGAACGAATCAGTCCTATCGATCCATAAAAAGTATTAAACATCACATGTTTCAGACTTTAAAAGTTTCATCATTTTCGTTCTAGCAGTGCGGAGTACTAAAAATTGTACATGTGTTCACTACACTAAAAAACATCAAGACTCAAAACCACAAGGTAGGTGTAAAAATCAAAATAAGCATTTTCAAACTTTTCTGCAAGAATCCCAAAGACATTAACTAACAGCCTCAATTGACAAAAACCTTTGATTTGAAAAACAAAAACAAAAAACAAATCCTTGAACAATCCCACAACCATCAAAAAGTCTCACTATTTGAGATACATTCTGTCACATGCAGAAAAAAGAAAAACTTGTGACATATGTGAAATCACGTAGACATCCTCCCTCCCAAATACAAACCACAAAAACTCAACAACAGTAATTCCTACAGCACAACAATGTTCTTTGCGACAGGATCCTGAGAAGCTACAGCAAAACACTCAGGGTTTTAAGCAAAGATTTTAATTTTGCCTTTTGCAATGAAACCAGACAAATTAATTCATTTGAATGGTTTTGAGCTAGGCTTCTAAAAACTCTACAACAAATTTACAGTACATGAAAAAAATAAAATAATGGGGTTCCTTTAAAAACTAAGTTCTGAACACAACGGAAGACTTTGAGCCTGGGACTGCTCTGTAATCCTGTATAAAAAGATAAAACGTCACGCACTATTTCGATGGATCCCCAAAAAGTTTACTTTGAAGAATACAGCCCATTTTCCAAAAGCATCTCTTTAAAATAATGGTGAAGCAAGTCCCCCTTCTCTCCTAAGCCAAAGCTCAAGACCAACCCAGCACTGGAGAATGCAACAACATATGACCTTGAATGACGCGGCCCACAGGTGACACAAATCTAAACCCCCACCATTTGAACAACTGTTTTATCTCTTTCATGACATGTGGGGAAACAACCCCAAAACAACATTATTCTTTCAGAGAAAACATTCACTATAGGGAAGGGGGAACCTCTCACTGCATCACCGACTACCCCATCAATGATCTGGTACTTCATATATTAAAAAACAAAAAAACAATTAGGAACATGATATCACAGCTAGAAGAATTTTTTAAAGTTTGTAAAAAAAACAAACAACAACAACAAAAAAAATCCCAAAACAACAATAACAAAACACTGCACTAACTAGAACGAATCAGTCCTATCGATCCATAAAAAGTATTAAACATCACATGTTTCAGACTTTAAAAGTTTCATCATTTTCGTTCTAGCAGTGCGGAGTACTAAAAATTGTACATGTGTTCACTACACTAAAAAACATCAAGACTCAAAACCACAAGGTAGGTGTAAAAATCAAAATAAGCATTTTCAAACTTTTCTGCAAGAATCCCAAAGACATTAACTAACAGCCTCAATTGACAAAAACCTTTGATTTGAAAAACCAAAAAAAAAAAAAACAAACTATCCTCTATCCCCCCCCCCCCCCCCCCCACCAGCTATTCAATTAAAAAATATGACACTGCCCAAGAGGACCACCTGTGTAAAATGAGCAATTTTCTCCCAGACACTGGATGGTCATCTCGAACAGGACCTACATAAAATACATTAATGCCTTACATTTTTGCCAGCTTAGCAGCAGCACCTCCTGTAACCTTGGCAACCCGGAGAGTTTGGAGCTCCTGAAAAAAACAACACAAAACGACAGCTCAAAACAAAACCATATCTTCACACCGCACGGGCAAAACAAACAAAATAATACGAGAGTATAACCAAGTTGGAGCAAGTCAGGCCTATCGATCCATCTGTAACTTACATCAGCGTGTGTCAGTCACTAGATATTCATCATTCTTTCTCCAACATGAGAGACTGAACCAAACAAGACAATGAGCATCTGAACCAAACTTTTTTTCTCTTAACCATCTCAGGTTTGACACGGCCACAAAAAAAACCCAACAACAACCCACTATACAATTAGCTCTCACCCCCCCCCCCCCCCAATCCAAATCCAGAAAAGACAGATATGGGATTTCACAATAAAGTAACATTTCAAAATCTTTATCCAGTGTCCAGCTACATAAGGAAGCTGTACACCACGTAAAAAAAAATAAATAAATCCAGAACTCCATTAAAAACAAACAAACAAACCTTTTACTGTCTGAACAACCCCTCTAAACCCAAGACTATCTGTTGGTCCCACAAAATTCAATTCAAATTATCCACTCTATACATCCATGAATATCGGTTTAAACCCCAGGACAAACTTTACAACTTAGAACAAGTCAGTCCTATCGATCCAATTTAAAGAAGGAAACATCATGCTTCAGACTTCAAATTTTCATCACTCTTGTTCCAGAGGGTTTTACAAAAATTACAAGTAAACCAGAAAAAACATCATTTGTGCCATGATGCGGTGGTAATCAGGCGTTCATTCCTTTTTGGGCATGTGGAGCCTGGTATCAGCTGAAAGCTTATTTATTTGTCTTGCTTTCGATGATGGGAAAAACCCCACCCATTTATCTTGAATAGAAATCAAGATATTTAAAATTGTAGGAGGTCGGGGTAGCTGGTTTCAGAGGTAGAATTAACGAGAACATGACTGCTAAAGTTTGGCACTTTCAATAGCCTAGGTCATTGAAAACCGACATTTTTTATGCCTCTATTAAAGGTTTATCTGTAACATTCACACAGAAATGTTTTTTAAATGAACATAAAAGGTGTTGAAAAAAGAGAGGTGAAAATGACCAAACTGGCAGAAAAATAAATGTTTCTTTGATTTCATTATTTTGATGGTGCCTGATTTCTAACATTTTATAAAAAGAAAACAAATAAGGTACTCATAGACACAACCCTAAACTTCGCGTCTAAGGCAAGGAGGAAAAAATAGGCAAAGTTGGTTCAACTGACTAAAAAACAACACTGCAAAATAGAACAAGTCAGTCCTATCGATCCAATTAAAAGTAAAAATACATCATGTTTCAGACAATAATTGTTCATCATTCTCATTCCAGCAGTGTTAGGTAGGTCAGCAAATTAGTACACTACTGGGAAAAATTGATCAAATCCCAGCAAACCAATGGTAAACCATAAGTTAAGCATTTGTCACAAAGTCACAAAGGCCAAAATAATCTGCAAATCATACAGCACTCACATTTTTCAGCTCATCCAACTGTTTTAGAAGGTCTTCCTTCGTCTTTCCACGGAGGTCCTTCGCTTTAACTTTTGCCTGAGAAGTAAGAAAGGTTTGACTATCATCACCACGTGCCATGATAAAAAGGGTATGCCCATACATTTGACCATGCTCCAATTTAGTACAAATGACCACCTGCATATATATATCCAAGACACCCCCCCCCCCCCCGCTGTATTAAATTTTTTTTTTATTATACACTCCAAGAGCACCTTCCATCTACTGACTTCAAGTAAAGGACCACTTGCAAACACTCTTGAGTGGTATTTTTGGGTCGACTGGCACAAGGCGTTCTTGGACCGATTCAGTGGCTTAATGGCGCTGCCGTAAACGGACAAAGACAGTGTGACACTGCAAGCCTTCTGGCAACTTCTCGGGCTCCAACTCCATCCTGCAGCCATGCCACAGCTCTGGCACGATCAAAGTCTCTCAGCTTTCGTCTCTGTAGCATATTGATGCGATACTGGATTTTGCACAAATGGCGGCTTACATTGCCACTAAAGGTCTAAAGTGAGTACAGTCCAAGACCGTGATTTATTTAAGATGTGCACCAGAATCTTAACTGAGGAATGTCAATGGTGTGGCAGTGTAATAGAGTCAGATACCAGTGTGTAATACAGTCGGATATCAGTGTAGCCGAGTCAGATCCAGTGTAGTAGAGTCAGATACCACGTAGTAGAGTGGGTCAGATACATACTCATTAAAATGCTATAAATGGTGAATACCACTTTAGACAAACTATAATAAAGAAAACACACAAAAATGCTAAACAATAACATGAGCAGACAGTCGTGTTTACATATC